ATTTCCCGCGAAACCGCCTCTTGTCTCAAAATTCATTTTATATCCCGGCATGGCGCCAAAATACAACATACTCATCATATACATATATTCATATTTTTTATTATATATTTATAATCAGCATATATCTCCTTTAATAGTCTCATATAGAGCGCTGTGCTAAACGCACCTTTGGACACCCTATATAACGTCAATAGAGAATGTGGTTGGTAGATTCAATGCTGCTATTGAGAACATGATGCTCATCGTATGCAATGAACTAAGCTCATGCGATACGTCTAAGGTCATGAACCACGACGCACTAAAGTCAATAGTAACAGAGACTCAGTTGGACTTAAATCAGAAGTGTCAGCCAGTAAGAAAGATAGAGAATGTTTGTAATATCATCATGATATCTAACAACTTCAACTCAGTAAAGATTGACAAAGACGACAGAAGATTTGTTGTCATTGACGTAAGCAGCAGATACAAAGGAAATTACGAATATTTCTCAAATCTCATTGAAAGCTTTAATGAAGAGTTTTATTCAAACTTACTGACGTACTTCATGAAGAAAGATTTAAGTGAATTTGATGTAAGGAAGATACCATTCACCAGGGCTAAACAAGAACTCATCGAAATGAACAAAACACCTTACCAAATGTTTTACGAGGAGTTCTATGAAAAGTTTGTATCCGGATGGAATTGTACAGAGTGCTACAGAAGATATAAAGAATTTGCGAAGGAGAATGAATTCTTTGCATGTAGTTCAAATGTATTTGGCGGCAAGATGAGAGAATTTGTGAAGAGAAGTAGAAAGCGAGACGGTTCTGCAAGAAGTTATATTTACGAAGCAAGTATGATATTAGAAGGTCGTGGAAAGAAAGAAACAGTGAATTATGAGGAAGTGCTTGAAAAATTCATGGAGTACATGGGAAGCAATATAACATACAACAAAGACATATACAGTGAGTTTAAGTACTACTGTGAACAGCATGAGATTGAAGTAATGAGTAAAGGAGACTTTGAAACGCTTATGAAAGACAGTAAGGAGGTCGTTCATGAGAACAGTGTTGAAATAGTTCATGAGAACAGTGAGGAGGTCATACATGAATGCAATGATGAAATAGTTCACGATGTCGTTCGTGAAGAAGCCATTGCAACAAAGAATGATATAAAGAATTTCATAGAACTTAACAAGGAGGAGTTTAAAGAAGGCTATGAAGTGAAAAGATGTGAAGAAGATTTCTTGGCGTATTTGAAGAAAAAGAGACTAAAGCCAATGGCTCAAAATAAGTTTCAATCGATGTTTGAAAAGAAACGTTTGAGCTATGGTGGTGTAAGAAGCACATATTACTTTGTTAAGAAGTGAGGACATTTATTTTTGTCGTTAGTGTTGGAGTTTGTGTTTGTTGTTAGCGTTTGTCATTTGTGCTGAAGTTAGTACTTGATGTTAGTGTTGGAGTTTGTGTTTGTTGTTAGCGTTTGTCATTTGTGCTGAAGTTAGTACTTGATGTTAGTGTTGGAGTTTGTGTTTGTTGTTAGTGAGAGAATAAATTAAATCATGAACTTTGCCATGGTCTCTGTCCCTAGTAGTTTTCATTAAGTTCTGGAAATAATGAAAGTCATAAACTTTGCCATGGTCTCTGTCCCTAGTAGTTTTCATTATCTCACAGAGTTAATGAAAGTCATACTTTCTATCAGATGAAGCATGCAGATGAACATAACGAAAGTTAGTGAGTTTGCCACGAGTTATGAATAAAATATTGGCATATTAGATGAGATAGCTGATGAAACAGATGAAGATAAATTAAATCTTGGACTTTGCCACACTCTGTCCCTAGTTCCTCAAAATCCTTGACAACGTTGCTTAGAAATTTTGGTTCAAAACCTCATCTGATTTTAATCTGTTATGCTACCTGTTAAGTTTCGCGAGATTATAAATGTCATGGAGTTATATAAAAAGGAGGGACAGCTAGGGACACTGGAAGTACTTGTAAGGCTATCTGTTAAGATTGCATGAAATACTAAAAAGTCATGAAATCCATTATCGCTGTGCTAGCTTCACCTTAGAGTAAAATGACGACTAAAGTCACTGAAGCAATGAAACAAAAGTTTTTGGTAGAATACATTAAATCAGGAACTATTCCAGAAGGTTTTTACGTTCATCAAATGAAAGATGGTAGAGTTCAGTTTAGAAAGATAAAGCAACCATTAGATAAAGAAGGAATTTTGAGAAAGATTAAACTTCATGAGGACAACATTGCTGAACTTAAGAAGAAGCTAGAAGAGTTGGAGAAAGGAAGAGAGTTATAAAGCAATGAATTCAACAGGGTAGAAAAGAGGTTAGATATCGGGTTAGATCTAACCTTCTACCCTAAATTTATTTTTGGTGTAAATTCACAAGGTTAGTTATCGGGTTAGATATCGGGTTAGATCTAACCTTCTACCCTAAATTTATTTTTGCACTATGTTTTATACGTGTGAGGGTGGTGATATCATTAGCTTTGTCAAAACTTACTAACATTTATTTTGACAGTAATTTTGACCTATATGAAGAAGAAAGTGAGTCAGAAGATTATGAGCTGTTATGTGAAGCACAGCAATGGGAGGAGTTGCAATACTTTTGTAAGTGAGAACGTTTATTTTTTACATTAGTGAGGTGAAGTGGTTGGTGGTTTTGTAAATATTTAAGGTTAGGTTAATATTGTGTTTGTGTTGTAAAATATACGTTAGCGGTTTTGTAAAGTGTCAAATTCACATATAATGAGTAAGGAGGCGCGCAGTGCCTCCGTACCCTTGATAGGTATATTAATTATGGATTAATTGGGAGATCTTCATGCGGTGTGTTATTATTGTACTCCCAAATAAAGGCAGGAATAGCCTGAATGCTTTGGCAGCGCTCCAATGTCGGCCAGAATCTCTCAATCTTCCCATTTTGGTAGGGAGAATGAGAGTCTGTATGCCGCCATTGGACGCCCCAAAGATCAAGTAGATCTTGAAAGGCGCCCCTATTTTCTGAACCGTTGTCGGTCCAGAAACAATAAGGGGCGCCAAATTCAATGAAGGCGGAAGCCGCAACGTTCGCTGTCGTCGCTGCCAGCATATCTGGTATTTGTATACACGCTAGGACTTTGCGGCTAAAATCGTCGATTATGCCATAAATATACTGGCCACGAACACCCCTAAAATAATGAACATCTGCGTGCCAGATAAGATTGGGTGAAAGCGCCCAATATCTTACTGCTGTTTCTGGCCCGGCATGCTCTAATCGCGTCTTGGTGAAATGATTTTCTTTGAAGTATCTGCGTACTTCTCTATAAGATACATCAATTTGTTGTAATTTCAAACGTTTCCATTGTTTTGTTTGACCACAGGGAAAGGCCCAGTGGTCATGTATCACAGCAAGAGCTTTGATTTGGTCGTAGGGATTGACCCTACGACCTTTCTTGCCTTTAGGCAATGGGATATTCTGTAAGCTAAATTGATTTTGTAAAAAAGATTTTGAAACATCTAAATATTTGAAATCATTTGATTGAAGGGTTGGGGCGATGGGAACATGGGTGCAAGCTTCTTCCCATGTCATTTTACCTTCTTCAATCTGATTGGAAATACCAATTAGGTAAATTCGATCGACATACCCTTTGTAAGGATTCATTCTAATGAAGTACGTTAACAATCAAAATATTCTATAAGTGTCTAGTATGGAATTCAAAAGAATAAAGAAAATGGTAACGTAAATAAACGTATTATGAAATAATTTATAATTAAAATGAAAAAAAAGAAAAAATAATAAGTAAAGTGACTGGAAATGAAAATTAAAATCAGTGTACAGTTTTATTTTTTTCTCGCTGTGAAACGTATTCGGTCATTTTTTTAAAAATTAATTTTTTGTTAGAGATAAGAGCTAAAACTCGGTAAACAACTTCTTTATGTCTAGAAAATTCTATCTTGCCTTTTATTTTTTTCTCGCTGTGAAACGTATTCGGTCATTTTTTTAAAAAGTAATTTTTTGTTAGAGATAAGAGCTAAAACTCGGTAAACAACTTCTTTATGTCTAGAAAATTCTATCTTGCCTTTTATTTTTTTCTCGCTGTGAAACGTATTCGGTCATTTTTTTAAAAATTAATTTTTTGTTAGAGATAAGAGCTAAAACTTTGCAGACAACTCCCCCATGTCTAGCAAATTTAACATTCGTCTCCTATTTTTATATATTTGGTTTAGAATGTTCGAAAATGCGTAATATGGTCATTAATATTAATTGAAAAGAACCTTGAATTAATTCAATCTGATCTCACAAAATATTTTAAATTACAAACTTTGTAGTTTGAATAGATAATTAGTATTAAACTCAAATAACTAGTTTATTTTTGAATAAAAATTATTTGAATTTATTCAATTTTGTGAATTTTTCTTCAAAAATCAAGTTTGTTATAAAACGCCTTTTTATTATTTGATATGCATATAACATTATTTTTTCATATAAAAATTAATATAATATTTAATGTAATCTGATATTTTTTCGGGGAAAAAAAATCCAAAAAAAAAACATGAATTATTTCTACAATATATTACATTACTGTGATTAATAATATTTATTATAATCTACTAATTTATATCCCAATTTTAAATTAAAAAAAAAATATAATTTGATTTTATCAGGAATTTGATAATGTAATTGCTTTATTTGATAATATAGTCTGAAATCTTAAAATTTATAACTATTTCTTTCCAAAGTTAGATATTGATCAATTGCTAAGCTAAATATGAACCATCACTTTCTTTTCTATGTTTGTACTAAGGATCCTAGTTTGTACATACTTGAATTACATTCAATTGCTTCTTATTAATTTTCAAAAATTTATTTAGTAATAATTTTAAGACTTTTTGTTCATGTTTTTAAAATTTTATCTTGTATGGATTTTAACGGGTTCGTTTGCAATGTATGAAATGAAAATTGGAAAATAGAAAAAAGTGACTAGACTGAACTATGGCTTTTCATATCACTTTTTTAAACTTTCAGAATGAGCTGTGAGAGATATACATTCACCCCTCTTAAAGTTAAAGATGCAGGCGTTGTTACACTTGCCGAGCACGTTTCGGATCTTGACATTACAGTCGACTGCTTTGAATGCTTAAAATCCCCACCAGCAACACAAATGCCTCAGATTACAGTTTCAAGATCACAGAAAAATGTTATTCGTGGTCTTCATTGCAGCCCACATCATAAGCTTGTCCAATGCCCAACAGGAAAGGCTTTTGATGTTGTTGTTGATCTTAGACCAGATTCACCAACATTCCTTCAATGGGATGGCCATTGGATTGATAGAACACACCATATGTTCATTCCACCATTCTGTGCTCATGGTTTCTTCGCTTCCGAAGACGATACAGCTATCTTATATCTTCAGGGTGGCTGCTTCGCTCCAGAGCTTGATTTCTCTCTTAACTACCTTGATAAGACAGTCAATGTTGACTGGCCAAAGCCAATTGATGCCGATGATTACGTAATTTCACCAAAAGATCGCGGAAATCCAATGCTTGATGAAGCAATGATTGAGAAGCTCAGAGAACGTACAAGGAACCCATTAATCGGAAGACAGATCGCTCCATACGCTGATTTCGCAGTTGTTGCTCCATCAAAGGATATCGCTCTCCCACTCTTCGAAAGCTTTGAAGAGAAGCAGCTTAAGGTTCACCTTTGCTGCGGAAACGGTATCTACCGTGATACTTTCGAAACCGAAATGGTCGCATTACGTCCAAAGTACGGTGTTATCATGGCTGTTGATACAAGCAAGGAAATTGATGAGACAATTGTTAGTGTTCTCAACATCATGGCTGCTTGCTTCGCTCGTGAACTCCCATTAGTTGTATTATTCGATGCCCTCAAATTCAACGGCCTCGAACAGCTTAAGGATATCTTCCAGAAGGAATGCGGAAAGTTCGCTTACTTCGTTACTTGCGATGGAAAGCCAACAAAGGATCTCGGTGCTAAGATCGCTCAGGCAGCTATTGACGGAAAGGTTGGTTTCTATGAATATACAGCTGGTGAACTTAAGCAACTCTAAATAGGATAACTTGAATTTATTTTCATTTTTTATTTTTTATTGAACAAATTTTTATAATAAAGACCCTTTTAATGCACAATGGTATTCTCTTTTCAACCAATTAGATGTTGAAAGATGATTTTACAATAATTATTAAGCCATTATCGTTGTATTATTCGATCTACGTTTTTTGTTACTAAAAGTTAGTTATTGTATATTGGAGAAAATCCTGGTTTACTATCGTTAGATCCTCCATTCAGAAATCTATAACTTTCTTTTAAAATTCGGAGGAAATGTTATGTGTGTTTATTTTCGAATATATTTTTATAAATATTTCATCTAAATATTTGCAATATCTCGATTTTCACTGATAACTCATTGAAACGTCATTATTGACTGAAAAATGATTAACAATTACCATGTAAATATTAAACAAACAGTAATTATGACGAAAACTAAATGAATAAATCGGTGATAATTTGAAAATTAGAGTAATGATATATTACAAGTTTGCTTCGAATTACTAGCTGAATAAGGATCTAGTTACGAAAACTAATCGACCAATTACGCACAAAATAGTTTAATTGGTCGGGGGCGTTCTGTCACTTTTATTCGAAAATTGACAATCAAAAAGGATGTCGGATTATACAAGATCAATCACAAGATTCAGCCCAGATGGACGTCTTTTCCAAATTGACCATGCACATGCTGCCGTTCAGCGTGGTACTACAGTCGTTGCAACACGTTCCAAGGACATGATAGTCATCGCTGTTGAAAAGACAGCTGTAGCTAAACTTCAAGACCCACATACATTCAGCAAAATTTGCTCATTGGATAAGCATGTTATGTGTGCCTTTGCAGGCCTCCATGCTGACGCTCGTAGGCTTATTCAATCAGGTCAAAGACAATGCCAATCCCATCGTTTAACATATGAAGATCCAATCTCCATTGAAAATATTGCCCGCTATATTGCTACTCTTCAACTTAAGAATACCCAATCTGGTGGTGCTCGTCCATATGGTGTTTCTACATTAATCTGTGGATTCGATGATATGACAAGCCAACCACATATCTACGAAACACTTCCTTCCGGCACTTACGCTGAGTGGAAAGCCCGCACAATCGGTCGCCACGATCAAACTGTTATGGAGTATCTTGAGAAGCATTACAAGGATGACATGACTGACGAAGAGGCTCAGAAACTTGCAATTGGCGCTCTTCTTGAAGTAGTTGAGAACGGTTCCAAGAATTTAGAAGTTGCTTATATGAAACGCGGTGGAACAATGGAAATTATGGCCGAAGAAGTTCTCGATGCTCTTATTGAATCTACAAAAGCAAAATAAAAACTACATATTATATGTATTCAAATGCAAACAAAATAAATAATGACCATCGCTCTGTAAACCTTTTATATAATCAAAAACATTTATTTCCTTTTCCCAGTAAAAAAAAAGAAATTTCAAAATTATTTTATTTTTCAAATAATTTTTTATTTATGTGATTTCTGTTACCTTACTTTTGAATATATTATAAATAATTTGTTAATTCGATCATTTCTAAACTCATCTTTCTCAATATTGAATTAATTTCATTTCCATAACCATATTGTATGCAATCATTGATACTATGGGAAGCACTGTGTATTTTCTTTAAATTAATCCTGTATGGTTTTTGATATTTCATGATATTTTACAGATCAAATGAGCGATTCATATACCCCGTGGCATATAATATTAACATGCTAATCCAAAAAAATGGTTTGACATATTTGTACCGTTTTGATAAGTCAAATAAAAAATCAATTTGGAATTGTAAAGATATACAACGAATAGCTTACATTGTGACATCTCTGAGTCAAGGTAATACTTATTTGTTGATTGTTGAAGTGAAAATATAACATCATGATGATAATGAGAATTTTTTTAACACTCTGATCTAGAATATATATTACAACCAACTTTTTTCAAGATTAACATTTGTTAATCTGTTAACGCATTCTTTAATGTTAGATTTTTTTAGCATATCGAGTAATTTGCCATATAAAATTGATTGGATGATATTGTAGAGGCACATTATTGTTCCAATGAGCTACATATCATATTCACATAATGATTATAAAAATTATAAGTTGAATTTCAAAGATAAAGATAATAAACCATTTAAATAAAGTAAAAACGCGTGAAATCTTTAATAAAAATACTGAAAAATCATGGAGATATAGCACTTTTAAGTTATTTCTAGATTTCTTCTGATACAACCTTCTTCATGATGATCTTCTTTGGTCTAATATCGTTTCTGATAGTATAAGAGTTGTTAGAAGTAATCTCTACAAGTGGAGCACGGATAATCTTTCTTGTAGTGTTGGAATGCATCCATTTATCTGTTGTATGTAAGTGGTAGATGATATCGTGAACGAATGGATTGGCAGCAAGTGGCTGGTGTTCGAATAATTCTGAATCTTTGTAAAGATCGAGGCATTTAACTGGAGCTGTCCAATGGTTGCAAGCGTATTCTGGGCCAGCAGCAAAGACTGTGCCATCACCGCCTGTTTTCTCAACAATTGGGTCTTTGTTGTATCCGTTCTTGAATTTGAGGTTGAAATCTGTTGGTACAGCGGAGTTGTAGATGATGTAAGTTGGTAAACCTGGTGAGCGTGGTGCCTTGCTTGAAATATTAGCAGCCTTCATCATAATCTTGATATTATCTCCTTTGACCTTTCCCTGATCAATTAAGAACTGTGGGACATCGCGAGCGTAAAGAGTATTATCCTCTGGTGTTCTGATGACCTCTCTGTCTCCGAAAATCTCCCAATTAGGGAAATGTTGGTGAACTACAGGCATTGACTCGATCATTGCGTCCAAATCATCGTTCTTAATGATTGGAACAATTGGGAATGTCTTTGTGTATATGGAAGGAAGGGATGCGCCCGCGCCGCCGAAAGATGGAGCCAAAAAGATTGCTCTATCAAGGTATTTGTCCTTCCATTCCTGGTCAACGTGCTCGGCAAGGAACTGCTGAAGTGTGAAGCCGCCGCAGGAGTAGCCGAAGATTGTAACTTTCTGACCACGATTTACACGATAAGCGTGTTCGACGAGATTCTTGAGATTTGGCCAGAAGAGATCAAGTCCAGCAACGGCAAGTCTCCAATCGAAAGGTGCAGCGAAAATATCACGCCTGACAACGTAACCCTTATGTTTGAAATGCTGGATTAAGGATTTGAAGGATTCTATGAGTCTGAGCCAACCGCCTAAGCCATGGGCAATGTACTTGACTGTGGAATCGCCGCCAAAGTCATGAACTGAGATGGTTGTGTTTGGTCTGGACATATAATTCTCGGTTTCGTTATCCCAATATACGGTTAAAAGCTGGAAGAGGCAGTTGTAAACTGGAGGGATAGCATATGATGGGTTAACCCATAATAATTTGTCAGAAACTTTACTTGTGCAATATGAGTGAAGTCCGCTCACATTCTGATATGTGATGAACAAATTTGAGCCATATAATGGTGGAATAATGACAATTGGTTTGTTGCAGCTAGAGAGAGCACATAAAATACTGAGCATTGATTTATTTTGATTTCAATACATAATTTGATCGTAATTCAATTAATTTCTCTGCAAAAATTTTGATCGTATGTTGATTGCTACTATGGTTCCAGCATTTTTCTTTAAAACAATAACCGTTCATTTATCGGAAAGGCCACATAATAAAATGCTCATATAATACCATGCTATTGCTTAAAATTATGAAAATAATGAATAAAAAAAACTAGCAAATTGAATTCAAAAGCTCAATGGATTTGTGATTCATATTGAATTTTTTGAAAATATTTCAAAATGGCAGATATGAAACATTCGCTTCTACTATATTGTTAAATATATCTTCAAAATGTAAAATTTTCCATAAAAATCATTGATTGCTAATAAGAATCTAGAAATTAATATATATATGTTGGTGAAACTTATCATCCAACCAACACTGTATCAAATATTTTAGTCGCTGAGCTTATATGATTCAATTGTTTCAAAATCTGAATGATTAGCAATAATACGCAGTTATTATTATGACTATTTAATATTTATAGGATTTTTTATTTAATAGTGTTTCATTGCTTGATGAACTCCTATTTTTCTATGAAATTTTTCAATTTGATTTATTTCAAAGCAATTTCTGAAAGAATTATTTAATAGAACATATTCGAATAATAAGACCATTATGTTTTCTCTCTAAATATTTTCGAAAAAATGAAATTGTCTGCAAAATATGATTAAAAATTTTCTGATTTTTGCAAAAAAATCATTTTTTGTAAATTTTAGGTGAAAGATTTTTCAATTTTATTACTATGTATCTGCTATATAAAAAACGGAATTGATATTCTAAGGATCTCATATGGAGAAAAATCTTCTCCAACTCTAAAATGCAGAATGGAGAAACTTTACAAATTGTAAACTTCAAATTGGCAAAATATACACATAAATATCAGTCATATTCCTAAATTTAACTCATTTTGTGCTCAAACTTAATATAGAGAAAGTATTTAACATTTAATTAAGAATTGTCAAATTATATATAGGAATATTTTTGTAAAATCATGATTAGTATAAATAAAAGTAATCCATATAGAAATGTGAAAGCAAACTTCCTTAGGCTAAACTTGTTTTATTGGGTATCAATGAAATTGAGTTTAGATTTATTTTATCGATGATCTAGGAGAGATCATTAATATATTAGATGAAAAGTATTGTGGTTTCATTCATATTATCAAATAAAGATTGTTTAAATTGAAAATGCATATAAATTCTGAAATATGATATTTTGTGTTAATGACTAATATCTATTGATGAAATATAATATAAATTCGCCATAAATGCTGATTAATATTCAAGAAATAAAAATTTAAATAATATATCTAAATAAATATTGGAACTATCTCTTGGGATCAGTAGATCATTGAAATCCCAAAAATATTTCCCATAGGAAGTTTCCGTGAAAACGAAGGCAATGCCCGTCTCCAAAGCTTCTCCATTTCTCCATCTCCATGGAGAAATTGAACTAGTCTGTCTTCTACACCAATTCAAAATTGAATACTTTCTCCACGTCTCCATGGAGAAAATGTGAGGTGAACTCATTGGGAGCTTTGACATTTCAAACTTTACAAATCTCATGGTTTGTAAAGTTAAAATCTGACATTCTTGTAAAAAATAGGGTATAATTTTACATTAAAATTTACGAAATTGGAGAAGCTTATATTTTGGAATTTGGAGATCCCAGCCGTTATTTCTCCAAACGAGATCCTTAGATATTCAAATGATTTAACCGCGAATATTCCATAAAATAGATTAGTTACTTTTATTTATTGAAGTTTTCATAGAATTCTAGCTTCAATAATGCTATCAGATATGTAAGTTGCTTATCCAAACTGCATGCTTTATTCATTCTGCATTTTTAAAATAATGTTCAAGCCAGACGTTTATCCTAACAAATACAGTGAACTTCGAAGTATATACAAAAACTATACCGATTCATATCTTGCGTTGTATCAGCCGAAAACGGAAACAGAAGAAGAATTAAAGTCAATTTGTAAAAGGATTATAACAGAATTGATTGATTCAATGAAATTTCTTCCCACAAATGTAATAAAAGACATTTTAGATATCATTCCATATAATAATCGCTATACAAAGTCATATTTATTTCTTGCCAAATTGTTATGTGATGAATATCATGTCAAAGAAGTCAAAAACCTCATACCTATCTCAAATTTCCTGTTTCGTAAAGAATATGGAATTAAATTAGACAAAATAAACTATTTCAGACAATTCAATTCAGAAAATCTCGACATTCATACAGAAAATACAATTCACAGAGCAATTGTGTATAATGACTTAGAAAATTTCATTGCTTTCACAGAAAGGAATGGATTTGATAAAGATCAAACACTTCAAAGCCAATTATATCCATATTCTAAGAAAGGATATTCATTACTCGAATTATGTTGTTACCATGGAGCAGTTGATTGTTTCAAGTTCTTAAGAACGAAATTTAACTCAGAAATAACTCAAACATGTCTAGAATTTTCATTTTTAGGAGGAAATCCAGAGATCATGAGTGAATGTTTGAAATATCAAGAACCAGATGAAGAATGTATGAGATATGCAATTATTTCATACAACATTGATTTTGTTACATTTTTGATGAATGAATACAATATAGAGATCGATTTAGAATACTGTGGAATTTACAATAATCTTGAATCCTTTTTAGTATACTTCGATTATACTAAAGATAAGCACAAATGCTTTGTTTATTCATTGATGTTTAATATTCCATCCATTTTGGAATACTTCCTTTCACATGGCGCGAATATCAATGGAAAAAATGATAAAGGATTAAACGCTCTTCATAATGCAGCAATGAATAATAGTAAAGAAACAGTGGAACTTCTTATTTCACATGGTGCAAATGTTAATAAAAAAGGTTTAATGGGAGAAACCGCACTTTATTTTACAGCATGGAATAATAATGAAGAAATTACCGAATTTCTTATTTCACATGGTGCAAATGTTAATGAAAAAAATGATAAAGGAGAAACCCCACTTCATATTGCAGCAAGTTTTAATAGTAAAGAAACAGCCAAAGTTCTTATTTCACATGGTATAAATATCAATGAAAAAGATAAATTTGGAGAAACCGCCCTTCATATGGCACTAATGAGAAATGGTAAAGAAACAGCCAAAATTCTTATTTCACATGGTGCTACTGTGTATTAACCACACTGCATATTACAGCCTGTTTTAATAGCAAAAGAAACTGCCGAAGTTCTCATTTTTCTTTTACTCTCGAAGAAGAATTTCATTAGAAATAAAAAATAATTAAGTTTTTTCCCCACTGATTTTATGTATTCCTCTAAATTTTTAGTTTAGTGAATCTTTGATGATATTTTCAAGCTTACAACAATCTACCATAACTTATACTTTATCTATCATCAAGATATTCTCAATCATTCGATATATATAAATTGCAGAAATTTATCCAAATCTCAAAAATTATATCTTCAATATCTGTCAGTGCTATGAACAAGCTCATTCCATACATCAAACCTATTAATTATAATTTTTGATGAATTTTTTTTCCCCCCTTTATATTCTCCTAATAAGGAAAGCGAGAAAAGAATCACTCATCGAAATTATCGTCAAGAACAAGATTCTTTATTCTTTCTCCGAGGTGCATTTCACATCCACAAATCCAATATTTTGAGAGTAGTACAAATGGCCACAGATTTTGTGTATGACATCAATTCTGATTGATAGATGTCAAAAGGTGACAAATGAGTAGTAAGAAAAAAATTGCCGAAGAGGAAGAGGACTATGCCGAAGAAGAAGAGATAATTATAATCGTTGAAGAAGAGGAGGAAGAAGAGGAAAATCCAAAAGAATCAACACAAGCTAAAAAAGAACCGAAACAGATCATAATCGTCGAAGAGGAAGAAGAAGAGGAAGAGGAGGAAATAGTCGAGATTATTGTTGTTGAAGAGGAAGAAGAGGAACCAGAAAAACCAGTACAAAAACCAATTCCTCAAAATCCTCCCAAAGAATTACAAAAACCAAAAGAAAATACTACAAATAAAGCTCCTGTAGTAAGCAAACCCGATACAAAAGTAGTTCAGCCAACAACTTCTCAGAAAAATAATCAAGATGATGAAGAAGAGGATTATGAGGAGGAAGAAGAAATTATCGAAATCGTGATAATAGAAGAGGAAGAAGAGGAACCAGAGCCAGAACCAAAACCAAAACCTGTACAAAATACCATTAAAAATACTCCAAAACCAGTAGTAGCTGCTCCACAAAAACCTGCAGTTGCTGCACCACCTAAACAACAACCAGCTTCTGCGCCACAAAAACTACCTTCAAAACGTGTTCCAGCAAAACAGGTTGATGAAGAAGAAGAATACGAAGAAGAGGAAGAAATTATTATTGTTATTGAAGAAGAGGAGGAGGAAAATGAATAGATAAAGCGATTTTATGTTGGATTGTATTTATTAAATATTATATTTCTATATTTCTATATTTCATATCGAAATCTATTTTATATATGTACTAACATATCTGCAGATAACTACATAATGTCCCAGTACAAATTATCTTCAACCTTTCAATAATCGTGAAATTATTTGAGTTATTCGCCTTCTGTTATGTCCAACGTAGTAAAACATTTCACAAATTGATATATTGGTTAGGATTATATTATGATACTTGCTTTAACAGTTCATGTAATAGTGATCATGAAATAAATATTTCAATTAGAGAACGGTATATGAATTCTGTTCATAAAAGGATTATTTTCAAGAATGATAACTAACTTCCAGAAATTATATTGAAAATTAATTATTTTTGATTGAAATAGCAAACATTTTGAATTTCTATTCGTCTATGTAATGTTAGTAAATGACCAATCAATTTGTTTTCTCTAGAAATAGAATACACACTGGTATAAATGTTTAAATATCTGGTTATCATTCATTTCATAAAAATATCTTTTATTAAACATGACTTTGAATCAATAACTAAATAAATTAACTTATAAGCAAGCCATTTCAAACATTTAATTTGAAAATTCTCAATATCAGTTTTATGGGAGACGAAGGGAAAAAAAAGAGGAAATAAAAAAATCCGGTAACTTTTTATCTTTGTATTGATACGTAAAACAAATTCCGATTCTATTTTCATAACCATTAGCCCATCAGCCTCACTTTTGTATTAATTTTCTTATCGTTTACTATTTTGAGAACTTCTTACCAATGAATAGGGGACGAGCAATTCAGCGCGAGAACCCTAAGTACAACATTGAGACAGTTTCTCTTGTATACGCCAACGTCAATACCGAAAAAGGCCCTAAATGGTACGATGTAGATAATTACGAACTCCCGCGGGAGTCACCGGAACCATATCTCCTTGTAGACTGGATAGGCACTGGTAAATATAGTGACGTTTTTACGGCAAAAAAAGGCGATACCATCGTTGCAATTAAAGTTTTGAAACCTGTTCGTCTTCAAAAATATAATCGCGAGGCAAAAATCCTAGAAAACCTATGGAACGGTCCAAATATAGTCAAATTAAAATCAGTCGTCCAAAATCCACAGACCCAGCAATATAGTTTTGTTTTTGAACACGTAAATGGAATTGGATTTGATAGAATGATTAAAACTACTAACGATGAAGATTCCAGATTTTACTTATTTCAACTTATGAGAGCGATACATTATTCCCACTCTCAGGGAGTTATGCATCGTGACGTAAAACCGTTGAATGTTCTATACGACAGATCTAAAAAAAAATTAAGACTTATCGACTGGGGATTAGCAGACTTTTATATTCCAAAAACTCGCTACAGCATCCACGTTGCTTCACGTAATTTCAAACCGATTGAATTATTGTTAGATTATCAGTGCTACGATTACTCTGTTGATATATGGAGCTTCGGCGTGACAATGGCATCATTAATATTCAAGAAAGATCCATTTTTCAGAGGAAGCGACGACTTAGATATGGTTAAGAAGATTTCTTCGGAGTTGGGTGGCGATAAGCTCAAGCAGTACATGGATAAATACGGACTTCCGCTTCCTGATGGTCTCCCAAAGACTATTTTCAAGAAGAAACCAAAACCACTAAATTCACATATTAATTTGGGAAATCAAGACCTTGTTTCGCCAGAAGCTCTTGATCTCCTCGAGAAGTGCCTTAGATATGATCACCAGGAAAGAATTACAGCCTTTGAAGCGCTTAAGCATCCTTATTTTGACCCTGTTCGAAATATTCAAGCCAATTAACTCTTTTATATATTTGTTCAAATCATAAAATGTTTTATTTGTTTAATAAATTAAATCCAAAAGAATTTTTTAAATTTCTTTTCACTTTGAACATCTAGGGCTTGATGATGGCTTTTGTAACTCATAGCCATAATAGTTGTTCGGTTTAAAAGCTTATTTAAGTTAAATAAAATATAAGAAAAATAAATTTAATAAAAATACAGGTTGATTTTAACAAATAATATCTAACAATAGTTTTATTCATATCTTATCTTGTTTTCAAGGTAATTGATTATTAATTCAGGTTTATACAACTTTAATGCAGTAGATGATACAGGAAAGTTAGTCTCACCATTTATTGTTTGAGCACTGACATAATATACCTTCTCGTTATCTACTTCTTTACATGCATAGACAATATTTGGTCTTACTGCAATTAAATTTTGTAATTCTGCTTCTAATAAACTCATTTTATGGTCATGTTCAGATACAACCGGCGGTTCTTCTTTAACAGGATGTCCAATTTGCTCTTTTTTGATAGAATCATACAAATTTGCTAATTTTCCAAGCTGAATATGAGGTATTTTCTTTGATTTTAGTTTTGATTTAGTTAGTTTTTCCTTTTCTTTCTTTTCTTCCAGATATTTTTTGAGTTTTTCTGGACAATTATCTAAGGATTCTGTTGGTTCCCATGTATTTGATTCATCGCCATAGTTTTTCCATTTAATTAGATAGAGTATTTCTCCATCGTCCTTTTTAATATCATCAAGGATTTCTTCAACAGTGAATTCGCCGTTTTCTTGTTCCCCAGAAGAATAATCTGATGAGGAAGAAGATGACATTAAAAGTGACAAATGTTTTATGTTCAATGATTCAACTAAAATATATATCCACACAAGTGTGTAGAGCTTTTCATGCTTGTCGCCAAAAAATGGAAAACATATTCGTATTCATCACTAAATAATTATAGATATCTGATGCATTTGATATCTATTTAATAATATACACAAGCTATATGCTAATTGCACATAAGAAACAAGTTAATTTAAGACTTATTGTCCGAAATCTAATCGAAAAGAACCGATTATTTTCATTAAATGTTCTGTAATTCTTCATTAGATGGAGAAATAGACTCTATCATGCATAAAAATTAATGTTAATTAGTAAAATACAAACAAAATTTTTATTGATGTGACTCAACTTGAATCAAATGAACTCTAGAAGCAGAAAGACCGGAAAATAGTGGTGTAGATCTATGTTTTGAAATCCTGAGGGATGATGAAGCATTTGGTCGTACAATTTCTCCTTTCTTGAGCGGAATTCTCTCTCCTCTATTTACAAATGTCTTAGAGAAGTAAGGATGGGTGGATAATTCGCTGATTGTTGAACGGTAAGTCAAATCTGTTTCAAGGCAACCAGCAATGAGATCTTTGAGAAAGGGATCATGTACAGCATCTTGATTATATAATCCCTTTGTAATATTATCCTGCAAAGCGTGCTGATCAAGTCCATTAAATGGATAATATCCAGTAGCGATTACATAGAGAGTAACACCAAGAGACCAAATATCTGCACGAATTGGATCATAATGGCCGATACTAAACACCTCAGGGGCCATAAAATGTAATGTTCCCTTGAATAAAGACGTGGAACAATTAGATTGAGTGTACATTGTGGACATTCCAAAGTCGCATATCTTAATTCTTCCATAGGAATCAATCAAGAAATTGGATGACTTGATATCGCCATGAGCTATCTGAATAAGGTGGCAAGCCTTAACTGCTTTTATCACATCACTGATTATCTTCTGAACTACTGCAGGATTAGACATCTTTTGCTTATTTGCTAAAAGCTTATTAAGGTCACTCGGACAATACTCCATTAAAAGGTAAAAGTTATCCTCATATTTATAATATTTATAAAGGCGAACTATATTTGGATCATCTAATGTCATCAGGCAGTCTATTTCAGCTTGTTTAAAGTTCTTTTGGGGAATTTTCTTCAAAGCAAAATAGGTTTTATAGGTTGAAGAGTAGACATAATAGACAGAGCCATAGCCGCCTTCACCTATGGAGCTGATTATCTGAATATCATGCTGCTTGAAGTATTCAATCTCTCCTGGATTCATGAATTAAATAATGAAATTGAAAAATATATTTCTGAAGATTGAATGTGTAGAGCCATTTATAATTGAATGGGTGTTTGAAAAAAATTCAAAAGCATCTTTCCAAAATTGAGAGCCATAAAAAAACAATTCGAGGGATAAATATTGACTTATATGCATAAATATATAGATTCAATATAGCAAAAATTTGTGAAGAATATGGGAAGTTTTAATCAATGAACAACTATGGAAAGTAACTCGCATTTCTGCCCCAAATCAATTTTTGGAATAAAAAAAGAGTAAATAAAAAAGTTCATATATACAAATTAATTATATTGTTACTACATATTTTCAGAACTGTAGATTGAAAAATAATTTCAGAGATTTGATTTCGATGATTCAAACTGTTCAAAAAAACTTGGAAAATTAATCGAAATGCTATGTTTGATAGCATATTATCTATCGCAAATCAATTGTTCTTTTTATATTTTGAATAGATCCTTTTTATTATTTGAATTGACAAAAACATGAATACAATATCTTCAACATCATTCCTATATGTAAATAATAAAATTAATATATGTTGTAAAAATTCTCTCAAAAGTCAGCAATCATTATTTCATTATTTCTCCTGATATAATTATAGCATTTAAGCAGGTAATGCATTTTCACCATTTGAAATTTAAGTTGGTAGGACAAAATTTAGTCAGATACGTAAAATTTTTGAATAGTGCCCATCTGTTATAATTTTATGATATACCTTCTTTTGCAATACGCTCTTTTTTATAATTGGAGTGATATAGACTAAAATATTTCAATCTATCAATATCAACGGTCTAATGCTCTACTCTTACACTATGTTAATATTCTTTAAAACTTAATCGAAACTACGCTGTCAAACAATATAAATATATATTCAAAATGATTAAAAATCCAATAATTACAGGGGAATGAAATGAATTTGGCATAAAATATATTAGTATTATTGACAAATCAAATTCTCTTTCTAATAGATAATCGGAGAATCTCAATTGTTGTATCGATTCATTATATTTTGAAAAGGTGAGTAATATTTGACATATTTTTATGATGTGCAATATCTTGAGTCCCATTATTCACATTATATCTTCACATTCTTTCACATTCTAGTATAATGGGATTTATGAAAGAAAGAATTTCATAAACATGACATGATATTCTGTACTAACAAGGGTTTTATTTATTGATCATGAAAATACAAATATTGAATCAAATCATATAGAATAGTAGTAGATGAGTGCGGGTTTAGTGACTTTTTTTGTTTCATCTATATATAGACGATGCATTAAAATATATTTATTTATAAATCATTAAAAAAATTAACATTAATTTTAAAATAATTTATTTTTTTATCTTTTATAAAAGAAGCTATATATAGATGATGTCAGATATTCCGCGATTAATTAAACATTGTTTAAATCCTGAATGGGTTAAACTTCAATTTAAAAATGAAGATTGTGAATTATTAAATGAATATGAAAGCCAAAATAAGCTAATGAGGTATAAATATAATGATAAAGAATATTTAATTTCATGGAATCAATGGAGTCATAATCAAAGACCTCATAAACGAGAAGAAGAAATTGAAAATAATGAAATGGAAATCATTGATGACATTAAAGAGGATGGAATTCCTAAATTTTGTAGAAAAACCTTTAGAACTAAGTTAGGAGCATATAAACGTAGAGTATTAAATCCTGAATATCTTAAACATCAATTTAAAAAGGAAGACTGTGAATTATTAAACGTTAATGAATATGAAAATGCTAAATCAAAACTGAGATATAAATATATTGGAAGTGATGAAAGGTGTAAAGATAAAGATAAAGTTTATTCAGTTTCATATAATAACTGGCACACGTTGGGGATAAGAAAACATTTAGGAGATTATGGTAAAAGTTCCGAATTCTTCAAATCTAGTATGTATGAGAGAGTAAAAGAAATCAGATATAATTATCATTCATGAATGAAAAATAAACTTTAAAAATTCATGTCTTACATTTTTTGAATAATTTATTTTTTTAATTCGTATGAAAATGAGTGGATCAAGATTCGTAACCGTCAATCAATTAATGGATGTTCTTTCACCAATTCTTGAAAATGTTAAACAAGTAGATGTTTATTTCGATGATTATGTAGAAAGTATATATTATAAAGGTAAGTTTAATATTAAACCTATTGCTTTTGCATTTGATAATAAATTAATTGAAAATGCAAAAATTTGGGAATTAATTCCAGATATTGAATTTATAACAAATATTAATGATAAATGGTTTAAACGAATTCCAACCACAAAAGTTCTTTGTAAATTAATGATCAAAACTGAGGAAAAAGAATTTAACGGGTTTAAATATCATCCAAATAAAGTTTCAGAACTAGAAAATGAAAAACTTCAGAAAAAATTAAACGATAGACTTTCAAATGATCGTATTGAAAAAATAAATAAACTAGCAGAAGTTGCATTTAATAATGAAATATTTGATGAATATAACCTTGAACTCAGTGATGGACTTTAAGTCCTGGGCACTTTGTGCCTTGAGCTTTAAGGACCCGGGCTCAACGAGTCATGATTTATGAAATCAATAATTTGATTTATTCGCTCTTCAATAATTTCTATTCTTTTTGTTAAATCATCAATTTTCATTAATGAGGTGATTCTTGATTGAGGAATAGATTTTAAACTAACAACACCTTTTATTTTTGAAATTTTGAATCCATGACCCTCCGGGTCTTGGACTCTGTCCTCAACTTTAAACATTTTATTCAATTTACATGTTGTCAATTCTTCAAATAATTTTTTATTATTAGCATAATAGTCATTAAATTCATCAACAGATGAAAAAATTTTTATTTCAGTAATTGGTTTAACAACGTTTATTTTTTGTTGAACATTTTCACTTTCATTTATTTCTTCCTCCTCTGTTTCATTTATTTTTAAAATCGGTTTCATTTATCATTAAATAAAAATTAGAATATAAGTGATGAAATATATTTTTTAATTAATATTAAATCAGAATGGCGGCAGGATTCTTTAAAAAATTATGGGAAGGAATTAAGAAAGCTGCAAGTTGGGTTCATCAAAAGATTATTAAACCCGTTGCAAACTTTTTGGCACCAGTAGCGAAAACGGCAGGAACTATCATAGTGGAGTATTAGGTGCTAAAGCAGGTAATCCAGCGATGGGAGCACAAGCAGGTAACGCAGTTGGTGGAATTGCTGAAGGAATACTTAATAAAATAGGGGTAGATAGTGGAAAAATAAATAAATATTATTTTTATCTTAGTATCGGTTGTAGTCGACGATAAACTTTATCTCCTTTATTTAATACTTCCCTTACCGGAACATTAGGTGCTATTTGTTCAGCAACGTCACTAATTGCTTCTTTATTCTTAAATATCCAATTTGCTCCTTTCTTCATTTCCCAAACTTTATGCGCTCCTCTTTTTACTTTATCCCACAGTTTCTTAAAGAATCCTGCAGCCATAGTTGATTATTTCATTAAAATTAAAAATTCATTTTCATCTTTTAATTTTGATTTTTTATTTAATAATAAATGACGACTAACTATTTAGTGCCAAACACTAAACCGATTAATGGAAATGTATTTCATTCATTCGAAAAGATAAATGAAATATTCGCAAAGAATGACGGTAGAAGATATTATAGAGAACTTGAAAGTTCATGCTATGACTCTGATGCTCCATATTTTGATGATAAACAAACTCATTTAAGAATTACAAATCCGGCTCATGATGTGAACCAATTAGGTGACACATATATTAAACGCAAAGTTAAAGCAACTCTAGTTTCAAATAAAGCTTTCACATGTGATGCCGCTTTTAAATGCATGCGTTTATTCGTTGGTTATAAATCATCAAATCAAAGCTTTAAACAATTAGAAGTAGAAACCGAAAGAGGTGATGCCGGTTATCTTCAGATGGATTGCGCCCGTGAATCTTTCGCATTTGCAACATATAAACCAAAATCAGAAAGGAAAGTTAAAAAGTTTGTTCATTCGTTATATAATAATGTTCAAAAATATGATAACTCAGTATGTGGTAAATATATTGACCCTTCAGAAGTTTTCAAGAAAGCAAATGAAGAAGTTGATGTCACTTTTGATATGATTATTCCGGTAAATGATTTGTTAGCATTTCAGGCGTTCGATGATTATCCTAAATCATTTGGTGAAATCATTCTTAAATATTATGTTTTCAGGGATACTTTAGTATTTTGTCAGGTTGACCCGTTAAGAGTTGCTGATTTACAAAATTACGTTTATGAAAAGATAACTGATGAAAATTATGAAAAGATTATGAATCATGTTTATAAATATGATCGCAAATTCCAACAAATCGGACTTCCTGCCAAATTAATTACAAGCTTAGCCGCTACATCTGCTGACGCAACAGTTGAAGACGTTATTATTTCATGCACAAAGATGGAAGTTTTAGAGGATAAATGCATTACACCAGGATACGGTTTAATTGAAGAATCAGTTAAAGCAATACCACGTTTATTCAGTAAGGAAGATCCATTCATGATTCCAGCTCAACATATTGACGTTCGTTCACTAAATGGAGGTTGCATCACTCCTGAAGGTATAGCTCAGATTTCTCATACGCTCTTCATAATGTTACAGATGTTGTGTTAACATTTCCGAAGAATGCAATGCAAAGAACGGTTTTAGAAAATCCAATGCTTCGAGGTCTTCAGGTCACTATAGATTCCAGAAACTTCCCCGATCAAGCGATGACCACAGTGGGTGACATATTCTTTACACGTATGCTTCAAGCTTCTGATTTAGATGGAGTGAATGAATGCACAGAAGAATACGAGGACTCATTAACTAGACCACTGAATGATGATAATGGCACGCCATTAGCTAGAACATGGAAAGACCAAACTTCATTCTTATGCACTATTCCAGTTCAACGTGATGGAGCGGGTATATTCTTTGATGGATTAGAAACTTTCAACTCACAAGTTACAGTACAAGTGAAAGCTTATCCAATCATTCAGGGTGAAAATGACACTTACTGTTCAAAGGTGACAAATCCTCCTCAGGTTTGGTTTACTAGGACTACATATTGGACATGGACACCGGATGAAGGTTTGAAATATCATCCAACAGGTACACCACCACAGTATAGAAGTTCATATGATGAAATATTGATGAATAGAAATGTTTAAAATTATAAATTTATTTTTGATTAAATGGATTTAAATTCATCCACCCTTATGAAGAATTAGCAGGAGTATATAATACATACGTAGATGATATGATTAATGAAGCATTGAGTGATAATAGAAATGCTCTATCTAAGGAAAAATTAATGAAAATTCCATATTCTGAATGTTACTTAAATTCAATCACTGCAGCAATTGGTAAACAAAATAAAGGTAAAACATTAACGATATTAAAACAAATTATCATTATTGCTAACACTTCACCCTATTCACATGTGTTAATTTATATCAACCGTTCAGGTTCACCTTCAGATGATACATTTGAATCTTTAAAGCATTTAATCAAAATTCCAATTATTTATTTATCACAAGAAGAAGCAGAAGATTATTTAAAAAACTTTTTAATGTATAAAGAATTATATAATACAATCAAGAAGCAAGGATTAGAGGATAAAATTATTGATAAACAACGGGATGAATTATTTGAAACACTTTCTATTTCAAATTTTGATAGAGAATTTTTGCATTCACTCATTTTTCTAGATGATGCGTGAAATCAAAACTAATAACTAATGAGAAATCATATTTTAATCAATTATTAACTCAATGTCGACACATTCAGTGTTCATTCTTCATGGCTGTTCAATACTTTAAAGCATTAAGCACAAACATTAAATCAAACCTGTCCACCCTTTTCATTTTCAGTGGTTTTAGTCGTCAACAGTTGAACGTTATGCTTTATCAAGTGAATTTACCAATGAGCATTAATGAACTTTACACACAATATCAACAATTAGGAGAACATGGAAAAATAATAGTTGATTTAAATAAAGGTTCCATTAAATTCGAATAACTTTTTATAATTAATTTTTATTTTTTATTTATAATTAAACATGACAGAAATTGCAAATCTTCTACAGGTTCCATTAAAACAAGGAACAAACAAAAAGGGTGCATATAATAGAACTATGAAAGTTCCAGACGGAATGAAAGAATTAGTCCACATTGTTGCCGGTCTTCAAAAGGATGTTAAACAAATGAGAAACGTTTTAACATTACCAGAAGCTCAAGCATATGCCAAACGTCATGGACCAAATTGGGAAGCACACGAAGCAGACATTACGGGTCCAAATGGAAAACCTGATGGAATAAATGAAGTTTTCGTTACTGATGGTCAAGGAAATATTAAAGTCATAAATGGGTATAAATTAACAATGACGGATTATCCTAAACGTAAAGCATATAATGAACGTTATCCTATGCAATTTGATGAAAATGGAAAAGCTGTTAAACAATACATTGGAGAAGGTGAAAATGGTCCAATTAATTCATACCGTCATAATCCATATTCTTATTTCAATGAAGAATTAAATGCTATTGAAGAGGGACCGGATGGATTACCACGATATTTAACCAGTTTGATGGTCAATATGCAAATTTAAGACCTGAAATTCCAGCTAAGAAATTCTTTAAAGTTGCTTTATTCGATCCAGTTTCGCAAATGTTAAAGATGAACTTAAACAGCAATTCCAACCAATTATAGTAGCAAGAATTGCATCAGGTGCTTTATCTCAAGCATTCAAAGATTTAATTAAGAAACCATTATATCAGCAACGAGGTTTAACTTATGATTTAGTTAAGGAATCAGATAAAAGAAAATTTGAGAAATCAGATGATTATAAGAATGCAATTAATGAATATATTCGGTCTATTAATTTCGATGAAAATGCTAAAAATCAACTTCATGAACAAATACAGGAAATAATAGATTCAAAAGTTCCAGCAAAATAAAAGTTTAAATATATTTTTTTATTCGAATATAAATGAGAAGACGTTTCACTAGTCAAAAGAACACTAACGCAAAAGCAGAGATTACGGTTGGTTATAACGTAAATGATGATAAATCACGAATTATTCAAAATGTTAAAGTTAATGTTAGTCCTGAATTAACAAGGTCAGCAACTCAACCAAATTTATTAACTCGTGACTTACCGAAGAATGAGGAGAATGAAGAAAACGTGAGAATGGAGACCCAATCATTTTATCTGAACCTGGTAAAGAACCTGTTGAAATTCCCACTTATCCAACATACCCCCCACCTCTTTCATCAAACATCGAGAACCCAGGAATCTACGATTACAGTCGCAATGCGCCATATAAAATAGACATTAATTCTGAATTAATGAAAATTTACCGTGATATCATAACTGATAATTATGATTCAATAATAAATTTAATTGACCAATCCGTTAATTATTTTACCTTATGAATCATTAATTCACATTATCGCCATTCTTTGTGATGTTCAAGATTCAGACGTGAAGATTCAATTTTTCATAGATGATGAGGTTTCATGCTGCGGAACAGTTGCAAAAATAAATCCTATAAAGGATATTAGCACAATTAAGATATCAAAGAACGGAACAACAACTGAACTTCATTTACATATAATGATATTTATAATAAAATAGTTGATGAATATAAAATATCACTTGAAAAATTCTTTGTTAAGGCTATTTAATATTCAAGCATTAACATTATCGAATAATAATCCTTTGCATCATAATCGATAATAATTGACCTTTCACCAGTTTCTATCGTTTGTTTTATTTCTTTTTGTTCCCCACTATCCGGATCGGTCATTGTAATTGTTTTTGTTATAGTATCAGCTTTATCTTTAACTTCAATCTTTTTTCCATCGGGATATTTAAACCAAAATTCCAAAAATTCGATATTGTCAATCTGTTCATATTTTAATCTATCAATTACATTTTAATACCATCTGAAAATCTTATGAAATGGTCATTATATGGGTTTGATTGAACTAAATTTGAATGAAGTGAAATATAACCTGATGATGAATATGACATCGACTCATATTTTCTGAAAACACTAAAATTTATAACATGAATGAATTTCTTATTCGTTGAATTTATGAATTCTTGAGGTAATCTTATTCTAGTTTTATTTATCACTGGAAAATAACGCTTTACCATATTTTTAATCGTAATAAAAAAATGTCAATTATCAATATTATTTCGAATAATAACTGTGAATTAAATTTAACAGTTAGCGGAATTTATAATGTTACTCTCGTTTCTGTGAGTGGTAAATTTAATCCCATTCTTTTAGACCCTTCAGATTATATATCATTTATTAAAGATGACCATGAGCCGCATAGCGGCGGGTCGTAGACCTAAAAACGTATGATATGTATATAAATAATGTGATAACGAAATGGGATATTAACATGATTTTAAGTTATTTAAATGAATCATTTATCGTATGGTATGAAGAAAATTTTAAATCAAAACCTGATAAACTTTTTGAACTTGATGAAATAAATAACCTTATTAAATTTCCGCTGAAAATTAAATTTTGTACTCCTCGTCTTCGTTCATTGTTGGGGATATTAAATTTTGAAAAAGATGTTGGGGATGTTTTGTATTCTGACACTGGTTCTAATTTCATTTTAATCAAATGTGATAAAGTTAATACCCCAATGAGATTTTCACATCAAACATTAGACCCTAACTCTTACCCATCAATACAAAACATTTTATCCATCAACTTAAACATATTTTCTTTATCATATCCGTTTCAATTATCCGGGAATTCATTTATTCTTCATTCAAAAGATTTATCAAATATTAAATTTAGAATAACTGACCTATTTGATTGTGATTTAGAATTTATGAATGAAATATTATGGCAATTTCAAATAGAAAAAAGCTGATGAGATAACAGATTAAATATTTATTTTTAAATCGTAATAAATGATTAAACAACAGCAACCACAGACCATTACATACGCCATATATGCATATAATTCAAAGACGGCAGAACAAACGCAAATGTTGAAATATGGAGATTTGGAGATAGTATTGAAAAATGACCATTTCGAATTCGTTTGCAAAGGTGGTGCAGTGATATCAAATATAAAAGAAATTTTATTTATGAATTCAAAAATTAAAGGAATAACGGATGATATAACATCAATTCCACCAGAAGAACAGAGATATTACGCATTAAATGCATTTCCTAAAGTTTTGAAGATTGGAAGATTTAATTTAAATGAGGAATTCATAAAAGGTTTCCTAAATGACATAATGAAGAAAGCAGATAAGGAATGTGTTGCTGCTGCGTTAGTGAAGAAAGCGGATAAGGAATATGTTGACGAAAAAGATAATGAAATTAAAGAAAGAGTTGAATGGTATAATGAACGGACATCAAAGATTTTAAAAGCTAAAGCCGATACAGGATGGGTTTCAGGATGTTTAGACCTTAAAGCGGATAAAACTTATGTTAACGATGAGTTAATGAAGAAAGCAGATAAGGAAAAAGTTATTTCATTCATTAATACTGAGTTAGCAAAGAAAGCTGATATATCATTTGTTAATGAAGAAATAAAACAATCAGAGGTTTATTTTACCCCATCATTTTTAAATTTTATGAAATCATCAGATAAAACATTTGAAGATATTGAATGGATATGTTTCGATGGAGTGACCATGTATTTATTTTATACAGGTGGAGCGCTTTATTATTTTAAAACAAATGATTTTAAAAACTATGAATCATTTACTCCATCCGTTTTGAATCCTGATACACGAGAGCCAATCATTAATCCAAGAATTTTTTATGTTGAATATAATAACGGCAAATTTATGGGAATGATAACGGTTGGAAATGATTTTTGCCCTTGTTATTCATTCGATTGTATCCAATGGTTCAAATGTAATTTAAATCAAGATGTTAAATTTAAATATCCAAATAATCCTATTAGATGTGTTAATAATAAATGGGTACTAATTTATGAAGTCAATCAAATTTTCATTAGTGAGGATGGGATAAATTATTATATGTTTAGTATGATGTCATCAGATTTGAAAATTGATTATACAAGTAAGTGGTATTACATTAACAACATGTATTTTATCCTACAAAATGATAAAATTTATAGATCATCTTCAATATCACAAGGTCAATTTGAACAAATTTTTCAAGCTGATGGAGACATCGAAGCTTTATGTTATGCTTCAAATGTTTGTGTTCTTGTTTCAGGTAGTATGGTGTATTCATATCCTGTAAGTTATAACAGACATATTTATTTATCACAAGATTTTTCACAGGATCCAGAGAAAACACCAAGATGGAAATTGGTTTATTCATTCACTCCAAAATTTACTCAAAATTATAGATTTACAAATTTGTTTTATATTGATGGGTATTTCATTGCTTTTGGATGTGGTGATTTAGTAAATATCAGTAGTGATGGAAAAAATTGGTCTGAAATCACAAAATTTCAAGATGTTAAAAAAGCAATTTTCAAAAATAATATGTTAATATTGATGACAATACCAATTTTAACTTCTTACACGATTTCAATATTATATAATAAATTCAATATTCATAATGGATTAAAGAAGAAAGCAGATAAGGAATATGTTAATACTGAGTTAAAGAAGAAAGCAGATAAGGAATACGTTAATACTGAGTTAAAGGAGAAAGCAGATAAGGAATATGTTAATACTGAGTTAAAGAAGAAAGCAGATAAGGAATACGTTAATACTGAGTTAAAGGAGAAAGCAGATAAGGAATGGGTTAATACTAAATTAAATACAATGCTTGAGATGATTTACCCCATTGGTTCAATATATACGTCAATGAACTCAACAAATCCGGCAAGTGTTTTAGGTTTTGGTACATGGCAACAAATAACCGATCGTTTCTTATATTGTGCTAACTCATCAAAACAAACAGGAGGAAGTAAAACAATTACGGGCGAAAATTTACCTGCTCATAGTCATTACGTTAATTTAAACACAACTGAAGCAGGATGGCATAAGCATAGATATTGGGATTGGTCAGGAATGATAAAAGGTAAAGGGTATGATGTTAAAGATGAAGTTAAATTTGCTATTAATTGTTACTGGAGCGATACACAGGGTTCAGGTAATCATACACATAATGTTTCAGGATATACACAAACGACGGGACAGAGTAAAGATTACATGCCTCCCTATATGACTGTATTCGCATGGTATAGAGTTCAATGAATTCAGTCCAAAAATAATTAATTTCATTAGTTTTAAAATTATTTTTATTTATTTTTTTATTTTGTATGTAAGAACAGTAATGTCGGTCGAAGCACAGACGTTCACGAACAAATCTAATGGCGAAACATTCACAAAAGGCACTTATAATGGTATTGAAGTCTTACGTAGAGACAAGGATGGTTACATTAATGCAACAAAGATGGAAGAGAAGCAGGAAAGTTAAACCATTTAAACAGATTTCTCAATAGTACTAAAATGCAGGAAATTCTTGAGTTTTGGATGAACGAATACGGTGGAGCCAAAAGTGGCTCGACCTCAAAACAAGCATTTTATGAGCTTACAAAGGGTTCATGAATGAATTCAAAGGTATTTACATACATGCTGACCTCGTTCATTTTGTTGCTGAATGGTGCTCTGTAAAGTATGCATTTTATGTCAAAGATATTATGGACTCCATAGACAAGAAAGTTCATGAGAAGTTAGATGAAGAAGAACTCGAAGATACAGTGGAGAATGCTAAACCTTTGTTCGAAGAAGAAGTTGGAAAAATGTGTGAAAAACAATTAGAACATGAACGTGAGATATATTATGGTTATAGAGATTCTCCATACGAACTAGACCAATGGGAACAAGAAGATTTAAAGAGAGAATTTAGAGAATATGAACTCGCTAAGATAGCATTTGAAGCTGCAGAAAAGAAGTTAAAAGTTTGGGGTCGTTTTGTACAAAAATATTGTGAGTAAATGAACCATTTATTTTTATTGAATTCACCAAAAATGAAAAAATCATTGATTTCGGCTGAGAAAAAACAGCAAAACCCTTCTTCCACGGGAACAAAGAAATAAAGAAGAAATAAAGAAGAAATAAAGTAAATTTTTTATTTATTCCCGTGGAAGATAGAGCACTTTTATGACACTTTTTATTCACGACAAACAAGACAAACAAAGAAAATAAGAAAATACGGCGCTGTCGCGGTTCGAACCACAGACCTTGACCCCTCCATAACACCACCTTTGACCACTGTGCTACGTAGCCTGTCGACATAAGATTTTATAAATTGCATATTTGACGTAAATTTATTTCCCAGTTATTCAAAAATAATTAATTATTGAATAACCGAAGGTGCTACCATGTTACCATGTGCTACCAGGTCATTTAACTTCTATGAAAAAATGTGACAACATGACATTTTGACAACAGTTCAGGATTAATGCAAAAATAATTAATTATTGAATAACCGAAGGTGCTACCATGTTACCATGTGCTACCAGGTCATTTAACTTCTATGAAAAAATGTGACAACATGACATTTTGACAACAGTTCAGGATTAATGCAAAAATAATTAATTATTGAATAACCGAAGGTGCTACCATGTTACCATGTGCTACCAGGTCATTTAACTTCTATGAAAAAATGTGACAACATGACATTTTGACAACAGTTCAGGATTAATGCAAAAATAATTAATTATTGAATAACCGAAGGTGCTACCATGTTACCATGTGCTACCAGGTCATTTAACTTCTATGAAAAAATGTGACAACATGACATTTTGACAACATCATGGGTTATTCAAAAATAAATTCCAATCATACTTTATAAAGCTTCATTTACAGGTATTTCATCATCAGTAAATGATTCCTCATTATCGTTTGGTTCAACCTGTTTATATAATCCTTTCATTTCTTCTTTCAAAACATAATACCATGTTTGTTTACCGTCTATTCTTCTATGTTTCCTATCACATTTATCCTTAATACTCATTTGAAAGTTTTTGTCTTTCATGTCTGATGGTTTGCAGAATAGAGCATTTTCACACGTCATACCTGCACACAATTCATCATAATGTGTATTTATCCATACATCTAAAGGATTTGATGATAATTCAATTAAATCTTGTTTGGCTTCAGTCATCGGTATGATTCGTACATTAAATGATGAAAGGTCATATTGCATAAAATACGTCAGTAAATTATCATAAAATTCCTTGTGCATGAATCCATTAAATTCTTGAAGTAATCAAATTGACCCTTGAATTTACCATTAACTCTTAAAACTACGTATCTTCTGTCTCCAACTTCAATTTTGACAGGGTAGACGTTGTTAGTTACGAAAATGAAGTTTGCAACGTTCTGAGCTGTTCTTCTGGTTGATTCTTTTCATTAATTCTTATCTCATTATCCGTAATAATTGATTTCAAAGCGTTGAAGTTTGCGAGTCTGTCTTCACCCACATTCTTGAGTTCATTAAGTACAAGAAACATTTTATTTTCAACTACTGAATTGAAATTACCCGTTAGCTCACTTATTTCGGTAATGTTTTTACATGAATAACCAGCGAGAAGTTCAGAAATAATGTCTGTAAATCTGTTTTTACCTGTTCCCTGAAGTCCTTTCAAAATAATTGCTGTTTCATTCTTGATTCCGGATGTTGAATCATTGATGCAATCCAGCCGAGAAGGTATTTATACACTTCATCGTTATTATCACAAATGGCTTCTTTAATGAAATTCATAAACATCTCAATTTTTGAGTAATCTGGTTTTTCGAGAACGTTGTATTTATAACCTTGAAACGTTGAGAAAACATCTGGGGAATCAGATTTAAAGCAAACACCCTTAACGGTTAATGAAGACAATTGATTTAGTAGTACATCCCATGCTGTTATGGTTTTACCTTCTTCTTTAAATAATTTAATCATTTTGAGTGACTCTTTCATGTTTGACTGAAGAACAAATGATATTTGATTCATTTTGTCGTGGATATTATAGTCCTTTTGAATGAAATATTTTTTCCACAATCTACAAAACGGATTACACGTGATAAATCCTCAATTACTTCAGAACTGTTTTTATACTGATGATTTTCAGCCTTGCGTCTAATATCTGTTATCAAAAACGAGTCATCAAGTTTGATATCAAATGTTATTTTTGGCTTACGTAATAAAGGTAAAACATATTCATCATAATATTCCTTTTGATATAGTTTTAGAATCTTCACTAAACAAATGGAGAAGTCATTTAAATGTGCATATCTACTACGTGCTTTTTCAAAATTACTTTTTGCATTTTCTGTTAAACTGCAGAAGTTATAAACGTTATCGTATGCTTCATTAATTAATGATGATCCGGTAACGAATTAATAGCTTGAAACAGTGTGAATAATGTTATTTCTTTTTCTAAATTCATGTTTCCACCGTCATTATGTACTTCAAAATCACAGATGCCATCAACTATGCTCTGAGCTAGTTTATCGTCAATGTTTACATCTTTGTTTTCATTCATGATAGTCTTTATTTCTTCATTCTTCTGTTCAACTCTTACCTTAATATTCAAATCATTTAATATATCATTCACTGTTCTAGTTAATGTTGAATCATAACTTCCACGAATGAATGAGTATGTATTGATTGGTTCTGTTGCATTCTTGCGAACTCTTGAATCAGCCATAACCACTAAAGAACGCTTTGAATCATCCATAGAAGTCATGATATCAATATCATAATCATTGCAGGAATAACATTTAATCATTCTGTTCGAACTGCATAGAAGAAATTAGTGTTGCAATAAATGTGAAGACCTCCTGAAAGCGGTTTTAACGATACATCTTTATCCGAAAGTTTTGATAAAATGTCTTTTCTAACTGTTTCTTTAAGTTCATCATTGTACGATTTATTGATATCAACATCTATAATCGTTAAATTTGATATTTTATTTACTAATAAGCATACCAGTTTTCCTTCCTCTTCCTCCATCATGTTTGAGGTAGTTATGTAAATCAATCCTGTTTTCACCAATTCTTTCGTTGAGGGTTTTAGTTTCTGCCACAACTAATTCTCAGCTAATGAATCAATAACTTTTTCATCAGAAACGATATAGTTGCTGTTGTTGTTTGTTGCTGTCATTTATATAGGAATAAAAAAATAAAAATAATTTTAAAACTAACTTTATTTTTGGGCTGCATCATATTTCCTGAACTGTTGTCAAAATGTCATGTTGTCACACTTTTCAGAGAAGTTAAATGACCTGGTAGCACATGGTAACATGGTAGCACCTTCGGTTGTGCAAAAAATAATTCATAACTACCTTCCTCCTGAACTGTTGTCAAAATGTCATGTTGTCACACTTTTTCAGAGAAGTTAAATGACCTGGTAGCACATGGTAACATGGTAGCACCTTCGGTTGTGCAAAAATAATTCATAACTACCTTCCTCCTGAACTGTTGTCAAAATGTCATGTTGTCACACTTTTTCAGAGAAGTTAAATGACCTGGTAGCACATGGTAACATGGTAGCACCTTCGGTTGTGCAAAAATAATTCATAACTACCTTCCTCCTGAACTGTTGTCAAAATGTCATGTTGTCACACTTTTTCAGAGAAGTTAAATGACCTGGTAGCACATGGTAACATGGTAGCACCTTCGGTTGTGCAAAAATAATTCATAACTACCTTCCTCCTGAACTGTTGTCAAAATGTCATGTTGTCACACTTTTTCAGAGAAGTTAAATGACCTGGTAGCACATGGTAACATGGTAGCACCTTCGGTTGTGCAAAAATAATTAATTATTGAATAACCTAAAAACCATGAGACTTTGTCTCCGGACTCTTTGAGTCACTTAACGATAAAATAAGTGATAACAAATTTTTATTTTTATCATAAATGAATACCCCACAAGCTCAAAATTTACCACGAATCATAACAAGGGAGGAAATGATAAAAATGATGCAAGAACATGTTAAAAATAACAAACCACTAAAATTGAGAAAATGTGGTTATGCGGTAATGATGGAAAGAGAGATGTTGTCGAAGAGGAATAAAAATTAAATTTGGATAGAGTTTAAAAATTCATCTTTATTAAATTCATCTCTTCCAATCAATTTATTTATTCTATTAAATTCTTTTATTTTTGCTTCACTCAGTTTAAGGATTGAACGATAAGTTTCTAATTTTTCGATTATTTCTTTCCTCTCTTTATCGTTTTCAACCCCACCACATTGTGG